GGCGTGTGGGATGCGTCCAGGACGACCAGCGACGAGTCCCACTTAGGACCTCAGCCCCCCAAGATGTCGGTTCACATGCGGGTCCGATAGAGGCATACTACCGCGCGTACCCCCTATGCTAAAACGAACGAGAAACGCCATCGGATGGTTCACCTATGTGATTGCAACTGATCAACTTTCGTACTGTGGACTGGTAGCTCGTTGGGGATACGCCCACCTAAGGGAGGTGACAACTCCCGAAAGGTGGAGGTAAGTCGTGCCTCGTGTAGGTCCTATCCTGTCGTAGGGGTTCGTGAAAGGTATGGCTGCCACACTCGACCGGAGCGGCTTGAGGACACTCCATGTATATTTGCGACGAGTATTAAGTTCAACTTTTGCGTGACGTGGCCGGGAGGGTCCCGTATTGCCTCGTGCGGTGTCCAACCGATGCGCTCGACAGGTAGCACCGTTGTCGGGGATAACAGTTGCCTGTCGTTGTCCCTGGTGGAACGACATCCGGGCATAAAAAATTGAGAACTGGGCAAAGTGATATGTTTTTTTTAGACTTATATGTTTGATTGTTCGACATCTTGACTATCGTTAAGGATATCTTAAGATTGTGGCTTAAGCGTGAACTGCTGGCTATAAGCATATGCGCGGTTTACTTGAGGAAGAAAGTGTTTGGCTATGCACTTAAGTTCTCTTACGCATATAATAGTGGTCTCAGCGAGCACCTTGCTATCCTAAGTATCTTTTGATAATTGGGTGATACGTGGCATGTCTGATGTGACCTTGGTTGAGTTGAGGCAGCGTTCGCATTGTTGGGTATGTCTACTACCAGAGCAAGCTTAGTTGATAACTGTCAAAACTACGAGGCTAGTGACTTGTTACATGAGTACAATGCTGAGCCTGCTTTGGGATGTAAAGACGTTAAGTTGAGGCATCTCCCCCTTGTCAATAGAGTGTCGCTTTAGAGGAGGCTTCTGATACGTGAGCGACATGGATGAGGGGGTGACTGATGAGTGCGAAATGAGGGGTTTGACTGCAAAGGTCTTTCCTTGAGTTCGGACTGAACACTAAATTCGTGAAAACCTAACAAAACCACAAAACCTAACATTTTTAATAGAATGAAAAAGTAAAAATCAAACTCTTATTTTTGACACATTAAAGAGAGTGTTTTTAATTGTTTCCCAAGAAAGGAGGCAAAAAAATTGGCAAAAAGTCTAGTGATTCTCAAAATGTGCAAGAAAACCCTTTCCAATAAAAAAAACATGTTATAGGACTATAAGTCATTTTCAGTAGATGACAAAAAACATAGCTCAAACAATCAATCTCTAAGGACTGCAAGGTGAAGTTGAAAGACGTTAAAAAAATACAGTTTCATTGAATACTCATTTATAGAATTGTAAGTCGTTTTTAACAGTTTGGTAAACACCAAGTTCTGTGAAAACTAATTTATACAACTATAAATTAATATAATACATTTTAAAGTTTACTGTAAAATCCTTGTCAAAAAATATATGTTATGTAAAAGGAGAATTCAAACAACTTTTGCGTCGGGGACATCTTCAAATTCTTAGCCAACCACGTTTTAAAATTAAAAAATACAAAAATATTTTGGTCTCCTCTCGACACTGTCCCTTATTATCAAAGGAAAGATACATCACTGTATTCACAGTCCTTTATTATTCACATCGATGTAGCCACAGTCCCTTATTATTCAAAGGAAAGATACATCGTTGTATTCATGCGTTCCTCCTCCCGGCACAATCCCTTATTAACATGACAAAAAAACTAGCCATTAAACTCCGAATCTAACACCGCCATCCATATCGCGACACTCTAAAACCCCTTTTTGGTCTCCTCCCTAGCTCGATTGCATCGAGAATCGAGTGGAGTACCCATTTTGCGCTTCTTCGATACTCCCTTCTCCATACCTCCGTGCACATCTTCTTCTCACTAACTCTGATTCCACTAATTTTCTACTCGAACTGGCTGTAGATTCGAATTCGCCTATCATTAAAACCTCTACTTTTGTTCGCCCCCCCAAATCGTTTCAGCATGGAATCGAGTAGTACTCTCGATTTTCCACTCGTTCCTCCTCCACTTCTGCCATAGTTTCACGCACATTCTTTCCATACTAACTCTTTTCCTACTTAGCTAACGCTAAAACTAACAACAACAATGCTCTCGCCTAGGGCAAAAACCCCGGGATCGCCTCCTTCCTCGCCCAAAACCGCTCACTAACGAGTGAGTTCCACGTCTTCCACTGCGCCATGCCCAACTCTTCCACCGCTCACTACATCCTCTTTTTCTGAGTGCACCTGGCCCGAACCCCGTCGAGGTTCTCCCCTTTTTTCTCCGCCTTTTCTTTCCCCGTCTCCTTCTTCGCTCGTGCTGCTTTGCGCTATCCCGTTACGCCCGTCCCTTTTCAGCCAACGCAACTCCTAGTAATCGTTGTGGCCCAGTCGGACTGTCCGACAGCCTCAACCACTCCGCTAAAAGAAGTTGGAGGAAGCTACTAGGCGGTTCGATTAGTCTTTCGCCCCTATACCCAAGTCCGATGAACCGCGTGCACGTCGGTACCTGCCGCGAGCCTCCTCCCATAGCGCCCCTGGTCCGACAGGTAAATCTCTAGTGCAGCGGCATGCGGGAGGGCGCGGGCCCGCTGCAAAGCTTGGTGATAGTAGCACATATTCGAATGAGCTCTTTGAAGACCGAAGTGGAGGGGCTCCTGTGTGGAGCAGCGCCTGCGCACAGCCAACGTCGTTGCTGCATCCACCTTGGTCCCAAAGGCGCAACTCCCCCATCTTCAACGTTTGGGTCCCAAGGGGCATGCTCACACTCAAACCTCTCGCGGCAATCGACGGTGGGCGGACTGTGCACCCACGGCAGGTCCCCGCCACCTAGGTTTCTCCCCTCGTCGGCTAATCACCCACCGACTCAGATGCCCGCTGAGTTCCTTGGTCCGCGTTGCAAGACGGGCGGGATAAAGGAATTTCTGCCAGCATCCAGGACACGCCAGAACCCAAGCGGGCCTGTCGAAAGAGGCGTATGATCAAGGTCCTCGACAGCCGTAACGGCCACCCGTGTCCGGCAAAGTAGTAGCCGAGCCAGACCCGGGTGCCCGACGTAGGTCTCGGACCCGGTCACTGGGTCAAAGATAACCGTAAAAATAAAAGTAAAATAATAAAATCAATAAAAATAAGAACAAATGCGAGGAAAAAAAAAGTAACGAGGCGAGGGGCCGCACTTCCCGCTGGCCTGTGACGCCGTGCACACCCAAGTCGCGCATGGTTGCTCCTTGCCGTCAAGACCTCGCGCGCTCTGCTCAACCGGGCAAGGACTCAACTCTCACTCGCAAGTGCCCCGTCAACTTCGGACGAGGTCGCATCGGCGTGACTTACAAAAAGCACGCCAAATACCCTTGTAAGAGTATTTGGTACGACACCGGTTCTGGCCCCGTCCGCCGTGCTTGAAGTGTCGGCAGCCCGGCGAGCATCGACAGGCGAGGGTCACACAACGAACCCACCCGGGGACCGAGCGACGAGCACCCAGCTCATCTTCGTCGGGCTCCGAAGCTTGCGACAGTCGGTAGCGTTATGAGCATTGCCACAGAGACACCCGTAGTACCCCAGCCCGGCCCAGGCCGCACGATCGGCCATCGCCCCAACCCTGAGCCCAAAAGAGACACTTGCACTTCTACCCCTGAAACTTGACACGGGAGATTCCAGTTCCGACCTGGAACTCCGCCCCCACTTTCCTAAAATCCTTGGCACACCCCTTTTCGCACTTCCAGGCCCACTAACACTCCGAAACAGGAAGTCGCGCTGGGCGTCAGGTTAGGGCGTCACAGCGTTACAAGACTGCATTGGTATCAGCATCTACGATCAGGCATTGGAGTTGTAGTGAGACTCACCCTCGATGCACAAGTGCCTCACTGGGTTGTCCACTACCGCTCCCTTGTTACCGGCAAAGGACCGATCGCTGCAGGCACAGTATGGCCCCTCAGGAGTGTGTCCGCCAGCTGCTGCGCTCATTGCGTACGCAAACCTGTCAAGGCATCAGCCACTTGCTTGGAAGAGAGCTCGTTTTTACTCACCGATTTTGGCGAAGCGGTCCCGCCCACGAGTCATGATTCCCGCGGAGTCTGGGCCTGCGGCCCAAACTCTATGACCCTATCATCAGTGGCTTGTCTTTTTCCTATTTTATCTGGTTTGGACCTGTGCCCTATTTTATCTGGTTTGGACCTGTGCATCACCCTAAGCTGGTAATAGTCTGCTTGATACCTCTGACCGGTATTAGTAGGGTCCTTGTCCAACACGGGTGTGATTGTGGGTGTGAGTGGGTTGGATGTGGTGTTTGGGAGAGTCTTGGCCTTAGACACTGCTGTTATTCAGTTGGGGTTGAGGGAGGATGAAAAGGGAGGTGCAGCTACTGGCAAAATGCTCGGTCTTTGCGTTACCCGGACCCCCACCAGCGGCCTTGGGTGGGGGGCCAACATGCATCCCCTCCGATGGCTGGAGGGAGACCACAAAGCTGTGTTCGTAGGGGTCCCCTGTATTAGCCTTAGGAGTCGTGATAGGTAGCTAGTGAAGGCGAATTGAAAGAATTTGAAAGATGCTGAAAGAGGAAAAGAAAAGGACAAAAGCCGTTTCTATTTTTTTTTCCTTTTTCTCTTTTGGGTTTCTATCATATATTTTTCTGGAATGTTTTGATTGTTTTGTTTTTCGCGCTAGTGCTGCCTGCCAGGGGTCGATTCGCGCAGCAAACAGTTCAGCAGCGTCTGACCAGTTGGCCAGTTGATGGCTTAGCGTGGAGAAACGGAAGCACGTTGGTCAGTCCGGAGCGACGGCAGCGTTTGACCAAGTCCGACCAGTCGTGGAGGTTCGGCGCGGAGGAACTGAAGCAGGGGCTTACGGTAGGGCGGAGAAAAATAAGGCACTCTGCATCTCAGGCTGCACTACGCTATATAGGGCAAGTGCGTACTTGGAGTTGGGACGGTAGTGACAGGGGTTCGGGGCTGGAGGCAATATTCTTCAGCTGCCATACGTGGTCACCGGGATCCCTCTGCGTTTTGCGCTCATCAATACGTCCGTGGTTAGTGCTTTCATCTGGACGGAGTGCAAGAGCCAGTGTCCAAGAGAGAGAGAGAGAGAGAGAGAGAGAGAGACAGAGAGTTGAAGCTCGGGTCGGAGGAAGGACAGTCAGATGGAGGACGCGCACATGCGGACGTCCACGTCAGCATGTCCGGCGACTTTGCAGCGGCCTGTGCCAGCCGATCTGGACAAATATGTGGATAAGCCTYATCTGCCACGTGCACTGGCGGCGGTAACGATCGAGACCCCGACAGGCACTCCTGGCTACGATCACCGGCACCTGAGCGTCATGCAGCAGCACGTGGCCTTTTTCGATCGGAACAGGGACGGRCTCATTTACCCGTGGGAGACGTATTCGGGGTTCCGAGCCCTTGGGTTTAATCCTCTGATAGCCCTTCTCGGCGCTTTCGTCATYAACGGAGCGATGAGTTACATGACGGTCGACGGGTTCCTGCCATCGCCGCTCTTCGTTATCAAGATACGCAACATCCACAAAGCGAAGCACGGAAGTGACTCAGAAGCCTACGACACAGAGGGGAGGTTCCAGGTCCAGAAATTTGAAGAAATTTTCTCCAAGTTCGACAAAGACCGAAGGGGAGGGCTCACATTCTGGGAGATGATGGAAATGACCGAGGCCTTCCGCGACGCAGTGGATCCGTTCGGATGGGTGGCAGCGAAGCTCGAGTGGGGAATCACTTATCTGCTGGCGGCCAAGGACGGGATCATCTCCAAGGACGCCATCCGCGGAGTTCTTGACGGCAGTCTCTTCTACACAGTCGAGAGGCAGAGGAAGAAGGTGCTGTAAACGTGAATGCCAATGCCCGCCATTGGACTCGACGCCTTCTTGTGCGTCTGATTTCGTCTCTTCGACACAGTCGAGCGGCAGAGGAAGAAGGCTCTCTACACATGAATGCCGGCCAGTGTCGACGTTGTGTRAAGGTGGAGGAAAGGAAAGAGTGAGCAGACCTGATCATCGCCACATAARTGAGCGAAAGAGCGCTWACTTTAGATTACGTGCAGGTGCGCATTTCGTCCAATTGATTGGATCCATCACAGAGGAGGAACGTACTGTTGCAGGCGTTACGGATTACCTCCAGCAGCAGGGGCCCCACGGATGTTTCAAAAGAAGAATAGTAAAGTCGAAGAGGGCGTATCTGTCATAGGAATTGGATGTTCGTGGCGTGTATTGATTCTGACCTAGTGTATCGGAAGTTGCCAGTTATTCGAGTCGCTGTAAGCGGGCGAAGAGGGGTTTTAGGAGGGGTCAAAATGAAAGTGGTAAAATTTGGAAGGGGTCAACTAGTCGGGATAATCTTGAGACGGGGAAAGCTGTCTCTTATACACATCTAGATGTGTATAAGAGACAGCTTATCTGCTGGCGGCCAAGGACGGGATCATCTCCAAGGACGCCATCCGCGGAGTTCTTGACGGCAGTCTCTTCTACACAGTCGAGAGGCAGAGGAAGAAGGTGCTGTAAACGTGAATGCCAATGCCCGCCATTGGACTCGACGCCTTCTTGTGCGTCTGATTTCGTCTCTTCGACACAGTCGAGCGGCCTGTCTCTTATACACATCTAGATGTGTATAAGAGACAGGGATAATCTTGAGGCGGGGAAAGAGAGTGGTATGGGAAAGGGCATAATCAAGTGGTATCGGGAAGGGCATAATCAGCCGAGACGCTTTGAGCGGACGTACCGAGAGGTTCGAGTTAGTAAGTTTCTTTGGGGTTTGTGGTGATTGAGAAATATGGGAGAGGTCGTGTTGCAGTGAGACCCGAATCTGATGAGACGGAGGGAAGAAATATGGGACGTCTTTTTCTTTAAGTCAACGCATTTCCAGTCATGCGCAGGTGCTCATAGTGTGGACAAGCCGGTCGGACACGCTTGTGGCTATGACGGGGTACAACAACGCTATTCAGATTCTGTTTTTTTATGTTAGGAGTCGATTTGTCATTTCCAGGGAAAAGAGAATAAAGAGCGTGCTAAACCGGGGAATAGGAGGTTGTCGTCAACKCTTTTTTTTTTTTTTTTTTTTTTTTTGTCGGTCAACGCATTTCCAGCCATTCGCAGGTTCTAGTGTGGAGAAGCCGGTCGGACACGCTTGTGGCTATGACGGGGTACATGAACGCTACAGATATTCTGTGTTTTTTAATGTTTAGGAACCGGGGAATAGCAGGACGACCGTTTTCCCCCGAACATAACGCACCCTGATGATGAAGGTATACCGTATACAAGCTATATTTCTGGTGAGATGCAACGAAAATGATTGTGTGTTGTGTTCGGAGGAACTTGGTACCGCAGAAAGCGAAGGGCATACCCGGGTATTACCCGCACTACCGTCGTCAGGAGGAAGAGAACGCTGGCCCAGGTCAGTATATCTGTATTTGCTAAAATTTTCATGGCCCAGGTCATTTTATCTGTATGTGGTGCAATTTTCATTCCAGGTACCGCCTTTCGATTGGGGTGAAGGCAATGAGCGTTCCATTCAGCTCTGGAATCGATTACCGTCAGACGCATCTTTACCCAGCCTTATTTGGAAACAGATGCATGTAGGAAATTAGTGCCTAGTGTGAATATGCCCTTTTTAGCGCAATGTGCCCGTCTAATTTGATCAGAAATTGCCGAGATGATTTGCAAAAGCTCGTTTCCTTTTTTTCCCTCAATTGTAAACGGAGTACGACTCAGTTTGGGGGATACCCGGGTTGGGAGAACTTGAACGAGTTTATAGTAATTTGTACCCATCATGATTGGTTCACCTTTGAATCTGAACGAGTTTCTTTCGGTTCTCGCCATGTGTAAGTTGTGCTTTTGCTTTTTCGTTGTTTGAGCGAGTGACTGATGACTTTCAGCCTCGTTGACTTCTGGGTGAGGCCTTTAAATGTGTAAGCTGTGGGTTTTGCTTGATTTTTCCTAGTGAGAGTGCCATCTCTTGACTTCCAGAGTTGGTATGACGTGCATATGTTTGCGGACTTTCATTGTGTGACGAGTGTGTCTTTGACTGAGGGTTGACGAGCTGACTTGTGTGCGAGTGTATTTCGGCGGGGAACCAGCGGTGGGGGCGTATGAGGGAGTGGGGGGTTGAGAGGGGGTGGTCCACCGGGGATTGGAGGTAGGAGAGGAGGGGTGGGGGGAGAAGGCGCCCTATTCCCCCCTCCCTTTCCTTCCGTCGTACACCCCCCCCCGGCTGGTTACGCCCCCTTTGCTCCCACTAACCCACACAATGCCACCTCACCTCCTCCCCTCCCTCCCCGAAGAGGCTCCTCCCCCCGTCGCTCCCTTGCCCCCTCCCCCCGTCTCTCACTTTTCTCCCGTGTATAAGTCCACAGCCAGCTGTCTTTGAAATCCTGGCCAGGCAGTGACTGCAGCGGAACTGTGGGGCGAAGCGAACTCACGATACAGCAGTAAAAGAGCAGACGGCTGGGGTGAAATGGAAGGCCGAGTAATAAAGCAAGGGATAATTGGTAGAAGGCGCCCACGCCAAAACCTTTTCGGTTTTGGCCGCCCAAATTTCAGCCGTTTGGTACTACCGGCCCAATGTCTTCCATCTGGGGTACTAAGGCCCACGCTTCGCTCCAAGGGCCCTACCGGATCATGAATCTGGCGCATAAACAGCTCCAGATTCATTTTGATGTAGAAGAGGCCGAGGGTGGTACCGCATAAGGATAGAATGAGGTTCAGGTACCGTATTTTGAGAAAGAAGGGCCCTACCGGCTCATTAATGTGGCAGAAAAACAGAGCAAATTCATCAACCGGTAAATCCAGGCCGACGGAGCTGTGGCCACGGCGCGAAGGTGCCTATCACCCAGGCTGAAAACCTATGGGTCGGTAGTACCAAACGGCCTAACTTTGGGCGGCCAAAACCGAAAAGGTTTCGGCGTGGGCTCGTTCTACCAATTATCCCCCTTAAGCTGCTGTGTGGTTTTGCATGGCAAGGTCCTGTCATTGCAGTCGTTAAGTCAATCGATTTTTCATGGTCTAACGGACCAACCTGTTTCAGACTGGAAGGGGGAGAACGTATTTTGATAGTCAAGGGCACTGACCAGTGGCCAGGGGCAGTGGGGGCACGGTGCTGCTGGCATACGCCGCCCCGCGACAAGACCTTTGTGGTTGTTGGCCTTCAAATGGGGTATAAAGTGTGGGAGCACTGGGAGGTCCTTGCTATGACCCTCATTTTTTCACCCAGCCAGTGGCACGCCCTGAGAAACACTCGTTCTGCAGAATGTGCACAGCGGGCCCTGCTGGTTTTACTGGCCCAACGCAGGTGAAAAAATGATGGGAAGGGTTATTTCAGGGCCTTGCACACTTCTTGCTCTTTCGGGGAAAGAAAAGCAAGGGTTATTTCAGGGGGGTGAACATATAGTTGAGGGTTATTTCTGGGCCTAGCAGTGGCTAGCACACTTCTTGCTTGTTTGGGGCTGAACAAAATCGGAGGTTTTTTTTTTTTTTTTTTTTCTCCTCTCAAATTCTTTTTGCCTTTCATTACCTTCATATTTTTATTATTATTTTTTTTTAACTTCATGTGGGAAAACCTATAATGAGGTGATAAGAGCATATGTATGTAGGCCCCTGCATCGAAGGCTCCATCAATTGGTGGGGAGCTGCACCTGCTGGAAATAGAGTCCAGTGTCCCTGTACAAGATATGATGTGTAGGAGCTGGAAATTGGGTCCAGCGTCCCTATTCAGCGATGTGAAGAAATATCATTGGGAGTCAGACGTGTTTAAGCTGGAATTCGGGACTAGCCTCCCCATCATGTGTTCACATGTACATCTCAGAAAACAGCCGGGGCATTGATTACTTCCCTGTGTAAGGGAAGGATTGACCTCCAACTGTAATGTACTCTAATTACCTTATAGGGTGACATGGCACATTTCCTTACTTTCAAGCATAGTATGTTGCACACGTGTAAAAAATTCACGCGAATCGGGGGAATCGGGGGAATCGGAAATTTACTTCAGGAGACAGCCATTCTAATGACCCCTCAACCCTTAACCCAACCTGCCCGCTGAGACAGCCCATGCCCCGTCAGCTGTAATCAATTGGGGGCAATCAACCACCCAATCCCCGTGGTGGGGCAATCAATCACCCAATCCCCTTGCGAAGCCAAACATCGGAGCATGGGCGAAAGCAATGCCATGCTGACCTTGCGGGAAGAAAAAATGAATCTTGCCCAAACCTCCGCACAGTCCAACCGAGCTGCCTCCAGGCTGACGAAGATCGATCGTTGCCGCCATAACAGACTACTCTGACCGTAGTGCTGGTGTCTGCGATCACCATCGCCAGCTTGTCTGCCTCCCCACTCTCCGCACCTGTGATATTGTCATCATTGTTGTTGTTGTTGTTGGTGTTGTTCCTGATTGTACTGTCTGCCTCCTCACCCTCCGCCGTGAAGTCGTTGTTGTTCTTGTTGTTGATGTTGTCATCATTGTCATTGTTGTTGTTGCTGCTGTTGTTGTTGTTGTTGTTGTTGATTGTAGTGACTGTTGTAATCGCCAGGGCTGTCCGATCTGCCTCCTCAATCGCTACGTGCGAACCGCCTGCTGGCATGAGCATTCTCCCTACAATCCGTCCAGTGAGCAACCCCCCATCCCGCTCATTCACCCCGGAGGACCAAGCCTCCATTAATTCACACGCATCCCGATCCTTGCGAAAAAGGGCTTTGCAGGCCGCCAGCTCAGCCTCCGCCCTCCGCCAATCAATGTAAGGTTCAAGCCCGGGATCTAGCCCCTCCTCCAGCTCCTCCAGCTCGCTGACTATATCTAACATGAGTTGTGAGCGGTGATCCACCCACTCGGCCAGGGGGAACGCACCTGAGATCGCAGAGTCAGCTCACGCACCATCTCATGCAGCTGCTGATGGGCCTCCGCCAAGATGTCAAGCAACACCGCTGCGTCTCGTTGTAGTATCCCCTCCGACTCCATCGCGCCTCTAATGAAGATAATCAATAACTTGGCTGGCACTTCCCCTGTACACGCATCGTCCTCCTTCGAAACAGCCACGTCACGCACGACCACACTGCCACGTGTCGGGCGCTTCTACAGGCCCAGCAACCTGGGAGAGACAGCCTCTGCAGGTGCTGGTTGAGCCAGGTGCAACCGAGCCTCGTCGGTTGGCTACCTTCCTACCACTACTCTTAAGACTACATTGAGGGGACCCCTGTAAGCAGAGGGCCTCACAAACGAGGTAAATCATGTTCTCCCCCCGCCCCAACAGCAGTAGTCAGAGATGGTGTGGGGCCGCCGGTGGGGGTCAGCTAATGCAAAGACAGCATTTTGCTAGTAGTTGCGCCTCCCTTTCTCATTGTCCCCCACCCCTCATCGAGTAGCAGCAGAGGCTATGGCCAACACTCTCCCACACAGTGCCACACACCACACATAGCCCACTCGCAGTCGCACTCACACCTGTGCTGGTCGTAGAGCCGTAAGACCGATTAGGGGTATCCAGTCTGAGAGGACTATCACAGTCCATTGGCACTAAGTGCGCTGCAGCTGGTGATGGGGCTTGAGCCCACAACCTCATGAGTCCTGAGTGCCACTTGCGCGCCTAATCAACTGAGATTTGCTGCGGTTGTGAGTTGTAACTTCATCCAGAAATGTTTGGCATTATTCAACCGCCGTAGATGCTGGCTGGGCCCAATGGGCCTGGTGGCTCCAGTCCAAATTCATCTGAGTGGAAATGTTTCGGCTTTCTTTTTTTGCAGAAGCTGGTCTATGGGCAAGGTACTGGTGGTTGAAGGGCCCAGTGCCTAAGGCAATACGTTGTTTGATGTTGCCCGCCGTTGCCCGACTACTGTCCTGACCCTCCCGGAAGTTTGCCGGCCAAGCAAGGATCCCTCCCTATGTGACACATGATAATTGAGTAGGGGAGCAAGTAGGAACAGCGGAAAGGGCCTCTGCCCGTGCGGGACGGTGGGACGACGAAGAGGAAACATCGCTACGACTGTTCATTACTACAGTGGAGACACAGATTGACACAAACAAGAGTACTCTTCCACAACAATGCAAAGCGCATTGAGAATGCCTGCAGCGCATCAACACATTGCATGCACACAACATATACACAGCATGCACACAGCATATACACAGCATACACACTGCATCCATATACATAATACATTGCATCCGCATTGCGCCCACATCCATTCACATCCGCGCTCGGCGCTCTGCATCCACAATGAGACAGGTGCAATTGACCTTGGAGAAACTAGAAGAGGGAAACAGGAGAAGAGGACAGAGCTGGCAGTTTCCAGGTGGGGACTGGGTCAATAGCAAGGAGCCCAAGAAGAAGGCAGGGTGATCTATGCAGCCCCACGGGAAAGATAGTACTCCGGGGCACAGGCTAAAACTCATATGGCCACAGTCCCAACAAACCCCGTGATGACATGATAAAAAGAATTGAAGGGACTGTGAACCCCTTATCCACCAGTGTCAACCCCCATCAGATAAGAGCAGCCCGACAGTCGGCAGCAGTCAAAGCCTCAGTCCTGGTGGTTCTCTTATCACCACCAGGATAGAGGTGGCCTTGCACAAGGGCCTTCAGCGGTGGCTGTTGAATCGACAATTGCGCCGTTGAATCGACGATTGTGAGATGAGAAAGTGACTGAAACAAATGCTG